GGGGCGGCTGCTTCCCGCTGCACCCCGGGACACCTGAGGTGCCGGTGACTGTCGGGGAGGGCCTTGCAGCAGAGAGGAGGGGGCGTGGCTGTGTCCCAGAGGCGTGCCTGCCGCGTGGAGGGACTCTGTGCTGCGGGCCGGATGGAAGAGCCGGAGAGATCCCCATCCCATAATATTCGGCGTTCAAAGTCACAGGCTCTGAGTCCCCCCGTTTGTCACAGACAGACAACTGTGGCCTCTGTGTTGGCACCAGGTGGCAGGCCCTGGGCCCCGGCCAGGTGTGCAGCCGGCCTCCAGCACTGTTACTCTGAAGCCAACACAGGAGTGGTTGCCGCCGCCTCTCCTGTGCCTGTACCATGCTCATGCCCCTGCCCATGACAAGGATGAGTGTGTTGTCCCTTCCCATGTCCCAGATTAGGGCGACAAGGCAGCGGAAACCCTGGCACAGGAGTGGGAAAGGGCATGGCTGCCTGCTTTCTTCCCGCCTCGGGTGCTCAGAGCCCGGCCTGGAGGCACCTTGTTCTCACGAAGTCCCAGGAAGCTCAGCCCTGAGCCCCGAGTCCGGGCAGCAGCTGGGCTGCACACAGGTGCAAACCACAGGCCTTGGACACGGAAAGCCCATCGTGCGGGTGACCACGCTGTCCCTGGACACGGAAAGCCCATCGTGCGGGTGACCACGCTGTCCCTGGACACGGAAAGCCCATCGTGCGGGTGACCACGCTGTCCCTGGACACGGAAAGCCCATCGTGCGGGTGACCACGCTGTCCCTGGACACGGAAAGCCCATCGTGCGGGTGACCACGCTGTCCCTGGACACGGAAAGCCCATCGTGCGGGTGACCACGCTGTCCCTGGACACGGAAAGCCCATCGTGCGGGTGACCACGCTGTCCCTGGACACGGAAAGCCCATCGTGCGGGTGACCACGCTGTCCCTGGACACGGAAAGCCCATCGTGCGGGTGACCACGCTGTCCCTGGACACGGAAAGCCCATCGTGCGGGTGACCACACTGTCCCTGGACACGGAAAGCCCATCGTGCGGGTGACCACGCTGTCCCTGGACACGGAAAGCCCATCGTGCGGGTGACCACGCTGTCCCTGGACACGGAAAGCCCATCGTGCGGGTGACCACGCTGTCCCTGGACACGGAAAGCCCATCGTGCGGGTGACCACGCTGTCCCTGGACACGGAAAGCCCATCGTGCGGGTGACCACGCTGTCCCTGGACACGGAAAGCCCATCGTGCGGGTGACCACGCTGTCCCTGGACACGGAAAGCCCATCGTGCAGGTGACCACACTGTCCCTGGACACGGAAAGCCTGCAACCCAGCATGTGCCACATCCAGGGGCACGTAACCTTTTCTTGACAGAGTTTAATGTTGCCGGCCCTAGTCATGTGATGCCTTCCCGGGCAGAACGGGGAGTTCACGGCACGGTGTCAGAATGCTCCCAAGGCCCTGTTGTGTGGAGATGTGCGGGGCACGCGGCTAGTGGCCCACGAATCTGAGCACGACAGGCCGGTGCTGTGTGGGCCACATCGTCCCCGCCATGTCCTCTCCGCCACGACGTGTTAGGGCGTCACCTGTGGACAAGACACGGGGTGAGCTGACTGGTGCCTCTCAGGCCCCACCCTGAGATTGCCCCTTAAACACTGGCCGCAAACGTTCCCGTCAGCTGTGCACTTCCTTCCCGCGCGCCTTTACTCTCTCCTGTGCGGGCTTGTATCCGTTCGGTGGTGCTGGGGGGAAGGGAGGCCCGAAAAGAATTGTGTGTTTTCCCTGAACCCCTGACTCAGACCAGTTTCCATATCTCGGCCCACAATGCAAATCCCCACCTCCGCCCCGGGCCATGCCCCAACCGCAAAGGAAAGGCGTCTGCACGAAGCGTGGTTGTGAGGCGGTCAGGATGGCCACAGCGCTGGCTGGGGCCCTTTTTCTGAATCTGTGTGTGCGTGCAGTGCGTGAGTGTCTGGGTGTGTGTGTATTGCTACGGATTGTGCATTGTGTGTGTGTATATATCTCTGTGTGTATGAATCTGTGTGTGCGTGCAGTGCGTGAGTGTCTGGGTGTGTGTGTATTGCTACGGATTGTGCATTGTGTGTGTGTATATATCTCTGTGTGTATGAATCTGTGTGTGCTTGCAGTGCATGAGTATCTGGGTGTGTGTGTATTGCTACGGATTGTGCATTGTGTGTGTGTATATATCTCTGTGTGTATGAATCTGTGTGTGCGTGCAGTGCGTGAGTACCTGGGTGTGTGTGTATTGCTACGGATTGTGCATTGTGTGTGTGTATATATCTCTGTGTGTATGAATCTGTGTGTGCTTGCAGTGCATGAGTATCTGGGTGTGTGTGTATTGCTACGGATTGTGCATTGTGTGTGTGTATATATCTCTGTGTGTATGAATCTGTGTATGCGTGTAGGTATGTGAGTATCTGGGGGGTGTATCTGTTTGGTCTGTGCAGCGTGCGTGTGTGTGTGTGGTCTGTGCTGTATGTGTGTGTGTGGTCTGTGCTGTGTGTGTCTGTGTGTGTGTGGTCTGTGCTGTGTGTGTCTGTGTGTGTGTGTGTGTGGTCTGTGCTGTGTGTGTCTGTGTGTGGGTGGTCTGTGTGTGTGTGTG